CAAAAACAGGTTTATAAGTTCAAAAACAGCTTAGGGTAATGTTCCTAGTCCAATTCCAGCCTTAAAAGTCGAAAATATGCTGTGAGAGGCTTCTACTCGTCGAGTGTATGAACCTACTCAATGAGTAGGATGAATTTCTTCATGGACTCGGCGAGTTCATCAGTGGACTCGGCGAGTCCAGTGCCCAGACAGCCAGAAAATCGATTTTTTCAGCTTTTTTCAGCAATTTGCATCAAGTATAATTGAAAACAGGCCTAGTCTCTGATACCACTGTTGGGTTTTGAGCATTCTAACACTCCTATGGTGTACATGCAACCCTAAATACCTTGGATCTATGTTTTCTCTATTATACATGTAAATATCAATTTTCCAAGGTATTACCCTAACTAGCATACAATCATATGTATTAGGATAACAAAACTAGATAGAATACATACCTCTTTGTTGTAGCTTGATTCCATGGAGCTTAAGAGCCTAGTGCCCCAAAGTGTGACACCTCAAATGGTTCACACAACATCATGAACATCTTGGAATAACCATGAGAGAGGATACTTGACTCATAGAAATCGGCTTGCCCTCTTGTGTATGTGCTAGTGCCGATTTCACCAACCAATGGGGTCTTTATATAGTGTGCACATTAGGGTTACACCATGTAACCCATGATTTTACCCATTCCTTATGCTCCATGGGTTTTAACCTCCATGGAGTATCCATGAGTTACCACATGGGTTAAACCTAACATAAGGAATCATGGATCATAAGCCCACATATATAAAAATGAATGATTTACACAATCAATCCCCATATATTTAATTAGTCTCTTTTGATCACTAAATTAATTCCAAATTACTTCTTGATCAATACTAATTAAATAATATGATTTCATATTAATATATTAGAACTTATAATATATTAATATGTCACAAACATCCTCTTCTCACAAAAGGTCTATCCAAATGTCCCGATGCCTTGCAACCCAAATAGACCATGTCGGGTCGGGTCAAGTATATACCAATTATATTTATGGACTTAGACACTAATCCAACACTTCCTTCTACTCCAAAAGCTCCAAATGGCACCAAAAATGGCTCAACAAGCTTCACAATGCACAGACACTCTTTAGGGTTTCGAAATGAGGAGGGAGGCTGAAGATAAGAAGGTGCATGAGGCCATAAATGTGTTTAAATAGGGTCCAAACCCTAAAATTTAGGGTTTACACCCTAACTGCGGATGCCCGACGTGCCAGCGTATGCGCTGCGTATTAAGGTGATCCGAGGTATGATTTGCATATGAGGGTGTACACCCCGCGTACTCCAGCTACTCTGAAATTACAAAATTGCCACCGGGGACTAAACTTTGCAAATAGAGCATAATTCAAGGGTTAAAACGAATACCTGAATAATAGATGTTACAATAAGAGTCACAAAGATAGCTAGCATCCTACATAACACAATCCAATGGGCCGAAATTGGTGCCTTTGACCCAAAAGTACAGTGAGAAGACTCACTTAAACCATTCAACAGAAGCCCAACAGCTACCTCAACATCAAGACATCCAACCCAAGCTTCCTAAAGCCAAACCGAGACAAATCCTTAGCCAAATGCTCAATTCTACTCAAGTTTGACCAAAAGTAGGTCAATCAAAAAGTTAACGGCCGAAAGTCAACGTTCAAAGTTGACTTCAGCCAACTGCCACGTCATGGCCCACAAACGACAAAACAGATGGTAAATCCCCGGTCGCCATGCCGTGGTAACCTAAGGCCACACCGTGGTCTTCAGTCTGAGAAGTTTTTCTTCAATAAGAGCTTAAACCATAAGGACCAAAGCTAAAATCATCAGATGTATATCCTAATAGCCTCATAATGGATAAAGGTTTCAACTTTTTCCATTAGGAAAGTCCAAACCACAAAGATCTAGACTTTAAGTCTCAAAGGGACCCAAAAAATGCATATTTCTCTACTTAATCCATTAAGTCCAAGTCTCCAACTTCCAGATCTAAATCAACAAGATGTATCGATGGATAAATCTTCCAACTTTATCCATAATATTGCCACAATCTTTCAAGATCTAAACTTTAATACACCGAAATGACCTAAAGGACCAAGATAACTTGTGTGGCTAAAAGGGAAGGCAAAATATCATAACTTTCCTAGTCTATAGGGTCCAAGAAACATTCCAAACTGATCAAAATATGTTGGAGTCCACTCAAATCCAAGGTTACTCATAAAATGGACCAAAAGTGCCAAAAAAACCCCAAATGACAAGATCTAATGAACTAAATAACAATATTGGAACTTTGTACTTACAATAGTTTAGTAATGTAGTGTCTTTGATGGATCCAAACTTGAAGCATCATTCCTTGCAACCAAAAGAACCTTCTTGATCTTTAAACTTCATCAAAATAACATAAAAAGTATGTAAAAGAAGAGAGAGGAGAGAGGAAAAGCTCAAATCTTGAAGGTGGAGGCTATGGTTTCTCCCAAGGGGTCCTAGATGTGGTGGAGACTGCTAAAACGCCCAAAAATGCAGAACCTTATGCTTAAATACATTGAAAACCTAAAATCACGGGCTTGGGCATGATAGCTTGCCACACCATGGGCTTTGATCCCCACTCCGTGGCGACGATTTTCACCCAAACCCACCTCAACTTCAAATAACCACATCTTCTTCATTTTAACTCCATTTTCAGCGGTCTTTATATCCACAAGAATGTATTGACGATCCCCACACTTCTATCTAGCTAATTTTAGCTTAACACATGTCGAACTAAAAACCATAATCTATGAAGGAAGTCCAAAACATCACTTTTCCTATTTTACCCTTTGACTCCAAAACACAAACCAAGGGCTTAGATCACATAACCAATATTATCAACATCTGATAGGGTCTAAACCATATTCCCTTGAAGTCCAAGGCCTTTAATTGATCCATTTATTGTCCACAATCCCAAATCAATAAACTTTTCGAAACAGGATGTTACATACGGTTTTGTGGTTTAAACATTTTCAAGTACTTCTAATTCCAAAGGGAAGTGCCCGACTTGACTGCACATTATGCCCTGATGATTTTCTGCACTGATGATTGTTATTTTACTCTGACGATAGTGATACGTTTAATTATGACTGATTTTGGAACAAATATTGTGTGAACTCGATGATTTGAAAATGAAAATTTTTATCGGTATTTTTGGATGTTACACATTGTTTCGAGGTCCTCACCCTCGACATAATTTTTTTAAGAGTACTGATACTTGCATAGCAGTTAAAATTTGTTGGTCACACTTGAAAGTCATTATTTTGTATTTCAAGGTGTTCACCAAAATTTTCCTTAAATAATTGTAAGTCATTTGATTCGTTGAGTTTTTCCCCGAATATGAGGCAACTCGCTTCCCTTTATCTCATCCAACTAGACTTCGAAGCGGTTGTTCCGCTATTATCTTTTCGGTATCATCGTTGAGGTCAATTGGGTACTAGGCATCCAAAGTTACCATGTAGTCATTCGATTCTAATGTTCTAGACCGTTTTGATTCGCCTGTTTCCGAAAGAGTCTTTGAAGTAAGTTCCCCTTTTCGGGGCATTTTTCATAGTCCCCCATGCTCTGAGATGGGTAAACATTTTCCCACTATTTTCGCGCCAATATTGTTCTAGCACCATATTGAAAGTGTCAAAATCATTTCTTTTCGCTTTTATATTGAGTGAAAAGATTGTTGTAAATGCCATTCAACTTTGTAACCTTTGTTTTCCTGTCCCGTCATTTTCCGATAAAGGCGTCCTTATTCTGATAATTTTCCATGCCCGATGCCACATGAAATGATCCACAACCCATTCACAAAACCATCGTGAGTTTGGTGGTTTGTGGACATCAATATGGATATCTAAGCACGAGCTAACGTGACTTCTTTGTCTCGGGTCCATGTTTTATGATCTTCTTGCGTTCTGTTTGTTTATTTACATTTTTTTCTTCCCTTTAAGGTCTTCAGTTATTCAGTTGGTTAAGTTTCCGGTATCGATAGTTCGATACTGCATCTTCTTGGGATGATTGAAGGGGTTTGCTTGAAATGGTTGTTTTATGGAATGAGTTTGGTTGAAATGGTTGTTGTTGGAAAAAATTCTCTATTGAAATGTGTTTTATTGAAAGAAATTTTGTTGAAAAGAATTTTACGGAGAGCCTTGGAGTAAGCTCGTAAAGTTACAATTATTTAAGGAATTCATCAAATATGACTTGTATTACATCGACAATAGAAATGTTGTGTTTAGATGGATCATTTTTTTTTCGCATGTAGAAGTGTTTGAATTTCGATTGAGTGGTGGTTTGTTTGAGTTGTTCTCCGTTATTAGAGAAAAGAAGTTGGAAATGAAAAATACATGAGTGTGGTTTGAAAAGATAGTGTATAATTTATAAGAATGAGGTCATATATTTATAAGTAAATTGGTGAGGAAAAAAAATTAAAATATATTTTTATCCACGGTCAAAATTTTCAATTTGGTAACCATGTATAAATTTTCAAATTGGTAACCATGTCACCTAGCCTACACTAGCCACTCCACATCAACACTATACTTACGGGTGATGTCTGCACATGGCCACATCTACCACGTCAACACCATGCTTGGTGCACGATGGGTAGGTCTGCACATGGCCACATCTACCACGTCAACACCATGCTTGGTGCACGATGGGTATACCTGTTAGTTTTAGAAGCTTCATTTTCATTCATACATAGAAAATATAATACAATATAATACAATATAATAACTAAACATAAACAATATAATACAATATAATAACTAAACATAAACAATAAACAAACTAAATCGAAACAAATTGAACAAATTAACTGAACTAACAAAATTTCTTAATTATATTTGTAAAGTTATTAAATATAAATAAATATAAACGAACTTCTAGCGAACAATGCAGACGTAGGCATGTCGATGAGACGGTGACAACCTCTTAAAAAAGTCTGCATCGGAGATGATCTAAACATTACAATATTGCAAAGAGGGAACTATTTAGTGCAATTTTGCAAAGAAGGGATTCTTTAGCGCCAATAATAAACCATTAAAAGTTACTGGAAGCCTCAAAGCATAGATATAGGCAAAAACTCTTCCTTTTCTTTCAGCTGAGGGAGAGAGAGGCCAAATCGACTCGATCATAAACACAGACCAACACTCTCTGTATCTCCCAGCTGGGTTTAGGGTTTCAGGGAGATTAGTCCGATTAATTGCTCTCAAATCAATCATCGATTTAAAATGGCCCAAAGTGGAAAATTAATGCCCAATCTCGACCAAAACAGTACAAAGATCCTTAATCTTACTGTCCTTCAGAGGATGGATCCTTATATCGAAGAGATCTTGATCACTGCCGCTCACGTCACCTTCTACGAGTTCAACGTCGACCTAAATCAATGGGTTTGTTCTCTTCTTTCCCTCTTTTTGCTTTTCCGATAGTTGATTACGTTCCCAAGTCCAAATCATTAGTTTTTGGAATAAATTCGTAATTTTTTGCTGATTAGCGTAATGATTTGTCTATTTTTTGAATTTTGAGCGTTTTTGATCAACTGATGGCACTTCTAATAACATAGAATTGTGATTGAACACACACACACACACTGTGAAGTTGAAGTATTCTAGAAGTTATCCTCTTCCAGAAGAATATGCAATTGTTAAGTATAGGTACCAAAATACAGTTTCACATGATCAACCAAAAGTTGATATCTTGTACACAAGCGCAATCAAAGAACATTCTCAAATCTTATGACATCTACATATTCTCCACTTCTACTTGGGAATATTATTTAGTTAGGTAGATCTCGTGTTATCATTTTTATCTTTTCCCTTATTTTAATTTTGAACCTTGTGTTCTCTGCTTAGAGCTTGTGCAGGAAGAATCCTTTGATTTAGGATTTTCTTCTCTGAAATCATTAGCTTATATTTCCATTTGAATGATACAAGTCTTACTTCTTCAATCCTACTGTTTCATTGTTGAAAGTTTATAATCCACTCTTGATAGCTCCAAAAGTATCTTGAAGATGTTTTATAATAAGTGAGACATTTGTTCACTTCCCCCTTATCGTTGTTTTTGCCAAATAAATATAGCTAAATGACACAATATAAGGTTACTTACAACTGTATAAGTGGTGTACTTTTCATAGCATTTAGGGGATATACAAAAGGATCATCTAAGTTCTAAAACATACATACATGTAAACCATTTAATGTGGACTTAACTTAAGTTGGGTATTCTTAACAAGAATTTTGGGTGTTACAATATAATCCTTCTACTTTAGACTTGAAATAATCTGTTCACATAATTCATCTTATTTCCTAAATAAATTATGCACTTGAAATGAATTTCCCAAATGTTTTTGAGCTTCATTTCTTATTTTTTCTTCTTCTTCTTTTGTTTCTCAGAGTCGCAAGGATGTTGAAGGGTCTCTCTTTGTCGTTAAGAGGTGGTAGTTATTAGTTAATTCAAATAATATTATCTTTTTTATTTCATTTCCTTTTATAATGACATGAGTCACATGACTATGATATTATATTTCATAAGTGAATAGAATCAAGTATCAAACTGTTATCCTTGTGATATTAAATCACAGAAAGAGATGATTTTTTTTTAAAGATTGATAAAATGTTATATTTTTTGCTGTAAGTGTAGGAACACTCAGCCAAGGTTCCAGTTTATAGTAATGAATAGGCGAAATACAGGCATGCTTCCTTTAATGTTATGTTTTGTATTTCATTGAGTTATAAATTTGTATTTTATAAAGTTTTATATTCTTTGGCATGTGTATTTATAATTGGCAGAAAACCTTGTGGAAAATCTGCTAGGAGATTTTGAGTTTGAACTTCAAATTCCATATTTGTTGTATCGAAATGCTGCTCAAGAAGTCAATGGTATTTGGTTCTACAATTCACGTGAGTGTGAAGATGTTGCAAATTTATTTACCAGGTATTTATATTAATTTTCTATAAAAAAAATAAATGAAGGATTGTTTTAAAAAAGTTAGGACTTAATGGGGAAAGCCTCTTTTCCTTGACTTTATCTTTTAAGTCGTTCTTTCTGCATTAGTTTTATTTCCATTAGTGGATAAATGATATCTATCTAGAGTAAGTGTTAAATGTGAGTAAATGACCATATTACCCTTCTGTGAGTAAAGACTTTGTACTAAACAATGGTTAGGTTATTTAGAAGCATATTCACAAACATAATCATAATCATTTTTAGGCACTTGATGTATATTTGGCAACAAGATCTCTGTGAGGCATTTCATCAAACACCTTACATGTTTCCTTCAGATCTCAACAAACCAAAGTATAACACAAAATCCAAAAGAAACCCCAGAAACAGATTTGCATTTGTGAATAAGTTTTCAAGATTCTGCACAACTTGATGCTTTTGATAATTCCTAATCCATGTATGCTTGATATGGTCTTAAGTTGACATAAATATATATATATTTTAAATAATAATTTCTTTTTTTACAGGATACTTGGCGCATATTCAAAGGTTCCCCCCAAGCAGAAGGTGAACAAAAGGTAGTTAATAGTTAATATCATTTTCATCTGTCATATAGATTTTATACCAAATTTTGTACTATAATCCAGCTGTCATTATCAATTTTTATTTTTATTTTATTGTGTAGTGAATTTGAGGAACTTGAAGCTGTACCTACATCTGCTGTAATTGAAGGACCATTGGAACCAGGGTTGACCAACACTCGGTCAACCGATGTACCTGAGGATTCTTCATTTGTCAACTTCTTTAGTGTATGTATCTATCAGCCCTTATTTGAAGTTTCTTTTTAAATTTTTAATTAATAAGATTTTTATTTATTAAATTAATAAATTTAAACATAGTAAAAACTCATGAAAACCCGAAACCAGAATAAGATTATTATAAAAAGTATATTTCCTAGTTATATTCAGAAAATAAAATTGCTATTGAATTTAATAATAATATCACGAAATTTCTGAAAAAAAAGGATTCCCTTCTTTACAAATTAAGCAAATAAAGATGGGTTACATATTAAAATAGGGTTTTATGCAGAAAAGTCCCACTATTTTGGCAAATTTTTTGATAGAGTCCTAAATCTTTTTTTTTTTTTTTTTTAAACAAGTCCTGATTATTTAACATTTTGCCCAAATTAACAAAAAAGTCCTTTTTTGTATTTTAACAGGAAATGATAGATTATGTGATTTTCCCAAAATAATGAGACTTTTCTGTTAAAAAAAAAGATTTAGAACTTTATTGAAAATTTTCCCAAAATAATGAGACTTTTCTGCGTAAAACGCTATTAAAATACAATGTATAGTTTTATCTCTACTTTATATATTATTTAAACATAATTAATAGTTTTCAAAGGTAAAAAATTACACATAATAAAAACTCATTAAAGCCCAAATAAGATTATAATAAGATTATTTAAAAAATTGTTCGCATGTAACAAAATTAAATACCATGAAATCTTAAACCAAAATCATAATAAAAATCATCTTCAGTTTTACATGTAAAATAGAAAAAACTATTTTAACCGGTTAAAGTTTTTTTTAGAAACCATTATTCTTATAAACAAAAAAAATATTAAAATTATAAATTGTGATTCCATTTACAGACGGCTATGAATTTGGGACACAATCCTCCAAATCAAGTAGTCAATTCCATTCCGACTTACCACAACTCAACTCCAATTCCATTACCATCTCGTGACACCCCTTCCCCCATCCCAAACAATCCACCACCACCACCACCATTACAAAATCCCTCATCTGACAATTCCAATTCCGACCACCCTGTCAACACCACCACCAACAACCATGTAACTAATCTTATAAAACCTCTTTCTTTCTTCACACCTTCTTCTTCTACACCTTCACCTTCACCATTAATGAGACAACCTTCTTCATCTGTCCCTGTTTCCGCCCTTCAACCGCCTCTCAATGTACAAAGAAACGTTGGAATCCCGTTGCTTCAACCCTTTCCGCCTCCCACTCCACCACCATCACTGACTCCGGCTTCTAATTCCGCCCCGTTTTATGGACCGTTGACTAGGGAAAAAGTTCGAGATGCACTTGTAATGCTTTCACAGGTATCAATTTCTATCTTAAAACTTTTTTTTTTGGGTATAATGTAGAAAAAGCGTAACGTACTTTCACCTTTTTTATGATTTAGAGGAAAGTTCAAAAGAGAACTATTATTTTTTGTATATATTTTGGCAACGTTTTTTTTATTTTTTTATTTTTTTATTTTAATAATAATAATAATTATTCTTATTACTCCTTTCGTCCCATATTAATAGTCCATGTTTTCTTTTTGGTTTGTCCCAAAATAATAGCCTACTTCTAAAAATAAATATTCCTTTACCAAAATACCCCTTATTATTAGTTAAACTACCATGAAATTAAATGTAACTACTATATAATTAAATGCAATAAAAGGGTACGACTGTCATTCATCCAATAAAGTTAGTGGTAATTAATATTTCCTTAATTTGTGTGTTTTTTGTTTGTGGACAATAATTTTGGGACGAAGGAGATATTATTTTATTGATGTAGCCGTTGAATTGTTAGTATAATCATAAAAAAAACTAATAGTTGAGTAGCTAAATCAATAATGGGAAAAATATTTTTTTTTTCTTTAATAATTTAAAAAGGGAAATATCCGATAAAGTCCCAATATTTTGTAGTTTACGGTTTAATCCTAAAATTTACTTTTTGAACAGAAAAGTCCTGATTATCTAATTTTATTCGATAATATATCATTTTCTGTTGAAAAAAAAAAGGATTTTTTCGTTAATTTGGGCACAATATAAAATAATTGAGACTTTTCTATTCAAAAAATAAAAGTTGGGATTAAACCGTAAACTAACCCAAAATATTGAGACTTTATCGGAGATTTCCCATTTAAAATTGTTAAGAGTGTAATGGTTTATAATCACTACAGAAAAAGTTAAGTGGCTAAATCATTGAAAAGGTGAAATTACAAGTGTGCTTTTCGCACTATTTTTTCTATAAGTTCTTTTTTGTAATAAATAAAAAAACACAAACGCATATAGTTTAATGTTTACAAGATTAATTTGTATTCCCATTAAGTCCATTAAGTTTAAAAGAAAACACTTTAGTGGGAAATGCAAAAAAAAAAAAAAAAACCTTGATTTGCATGAATGAGTTGTGGAAAACACAAAGGCAATAGAAAGTAATAAAAAAAAAGGTACATTTTGAATTGTTTTGTTTTCTTTGTGCAGGATAACCAATTCATTGACATGTTCTACCAAGCATTACTTAAAGTTCATCAATCATAACATACTTGAACAACCATTATTGTAAGATTGCTTTAATTGCATATATCATCTTCCAAATCACCACAAACATGCCGCCGTTTCTCCTCCCTTTTCCTCCACTAGCCGCCTGTTCAACATAGTTTCTGATAAATGTCTTAGAAAAAGAGAAGTTGGATTTTGAAGATTTGAAGACTTTTTTTTTTTTTGGTTTAATCTTTGGCTTGTAAGTTGTAACACTATAGGCTTGTTATCATGGTTGTATTGTTGGAATTTCAAGTTTTTATCTAAGAAATCAATTGTTTTTTTGGTCAATGATTATCATAGTTGTATTGTGGCAAATGTCAAGTTATATTTATTTTATGATATTCATGATGCCTAAATACTTTTTCAGAGGGATTATTTTTTATCATCATAATAAAATGTTTCAAATGAAATGCATTGTTTATGTATTGAAAGATTTATATGTTTAAAAAATATCTTAAAATCATATTATTAATAACATATGATTATATATGGTCACATCAATAACAATCAATAACAAGTTAACATAAATATATTATTTACAAGAATTTGATTTTTAATAAATATTTATATCTTTTGTAATTAATTGGAAATTATTTATACTATGAGAATGTTAATTTTCAATGTTAAGTATCAAAATATATCAAAAAGTATGATATGTATAATTTTTTGGACTAAAAAAATAAAAGAAAGGGTACTAGAGACATGGTGTGTATTGAACACATTGGATAATGATTTGAGCTTAAAGGCTTTCATCCCTCTCTCTATGTGCTCTTCTCTCTTAATTAGTTAAGACAAAGTAAGAAGAAAATGTGATATTTTCATTCTCTTTTAATTAAAAAAAATTGTCTTTTATCTTAAAGGCTTAAGAGTTTCTTTATTGCAAGAAGAACTAGCATTCAAGTCTCTTAGTTATTATTGGTGGATATCACTAGAGTAGCTCTCCTTATGTCGACTTCTTCAACAATCAATCTCCCAAAAGGAACCAAATGCTATAAATGTTGTTATTTTTTTTATGATTGTGTTAATCTTTCATGTTAATACAAAACGATAATTTGGTGAGAATAAAAAAGTTTTATGTTATTCAAATTTTAAATGCTTCCGTTGATATCTTTGTGTTTTTGAATCTGATTTTTGAATAAAACCCAACATATTTTTGTTGTTTCATCCCACATTAAATAAAGATGGGGATCAAGAACAACATGAGTATTTTGAGCACTTTATGAACTTCCTTCAACCAAAGTTTCATTTTCATTGTAGAAATACCATTAAGTCTGATATACTTTGTCCATAAAAACAAAAAGAGAAGCCATATAAATATCTTGAAATATTACATGGTAGGGTTCCTCTTACAACTGATATTTGATATATGGATATTTGATCATCAAAATATTGGATACATTAGCTTAACATCTCATTTTATCGATGAGGATTAGATATTAAGTAATAAAATATTGGCTTATATATGTATAGAATGTCCATACCAAGCAATGATTCTTTTTAGACACATCATTGACTTCATATTATACTTTATGGATAATACTTTATAAAATGCATAATAACTGTGTAATCTTAATATTGTAAATGGGTTGGATACCAATAAGGGTGGGAGTTTGATTATTTAAAAGTTATAAGTTTTAGAGCGGGTAACATTTGAAATTTGTTAAAAAGTGTGGATCAATGCCGATTCTCTCCAAATTCACTCCATTGCTAAGTTTACATATAAACAAATTATGGAAGTTCAAGGAGGGGGTAGGCGGTCACCAAAGTTTTTTGGTTAGGGATGGTGGTTATAGAGAAAAGGAGACCAAATAAAGAGATAAAAATAGATTAGCGATGAAGTGGGTGGGCTATTATATTTAAATAATTAATTTTAATTATTTGGATAAAAAAGCCAAAATTAATTACATGAGAGTAAGATAGTCATTTTATATGAACCATGGTCTAAACTCGCAAGATTTGAAAGCCACCGTTATCAGCCTATCAACTATTTAAAAGTTGAAATGAACTTACAAATTTGGCTGAAAGTTAGACAAAACATGCAATATGATGAATTTTGTAATTTACTCATTTATATCCTATATATCTTAAGAGGACGTTTGGCTGAAGTGTCGCAATGGGATGTAGCACCTGGTTCTTGGTACGTATTCTTTTTAGTAGTTCTTTAAATATTTTGCATTTTTGGCCTTGGACTCGGCGAGTTGAAGGACCAACTCGCCGAGTAGAAGCGAGAGGGGACGCGAGACTTAAGCGATGGACTCGGCGAGTCGGGTCCCGGACTCGGCGAGTAGACCCTGTCTGGACAAAAACCCTAATCCGAGGGTTTGCACCCTATTTAAACACTTTAACTCGGCCTCCTTCGTCCCATTTGCTCCCAGAAGACCCCCATAGCAAACCCTATCCGTTATTGAAGCAATCTAAGGCTTTTGGAGTGACTTTGGTGCTTTTGTGATCCAAGGAGGGAAGGAAAAGCTTGAAGGAACAAGATGAGGCTAAAGGGATCCGAGTTTGTGCACCATTTTCAGCTCATTGAAGGTAAAAAGTCTGTACCTTGCTCTTCCATTTGATAGATCCCATTTTGTGAAAATTTAGGGCTTTTCTAAGCCATTTTGGTCACCAACCATGATTGCAAGCATGGTTAGGGGTTGAAGTTTCAGATCTAGGTCCTTGGAGGGGTTACAAGGCAGAAAGGAGTGGCTTTTGGCACTCAAGGAAGGCCCCATGCATTGTAGGAGCCATTTTAGGGCCTTTAGGCTCAAAAGTCCCATGCATGCACGTAAAGTTCGTAACTTTACGTGCTAGAACGGTCCTAGGAGCCTAGATCTACCTTTTGGGCAAGTGTTGTACACCAGAAATCGAGAAAATGAGACTTGGACATACTCGACTCGGCGAGTCGTTCTTGGGACTCGGCGAGTCCGAGGCTTGACTCCTTTTTTCTGTTTTGGGTCAAGGACCCAGTTGAGTGTGGAAAGGTTTCAGGGAGGTCCCGGGGAGTGACCCAACGTTCTGGACTAAGCCATGGTTCTGGAATTCATGGGACTCGGTGAGTGCATGAACAGACTCGACGAGTCCAAGACAATCTTCTTAAGATTGAAGATGAACTCGACGAGTTGTTCATACAACTCGGCGAGTCAAGGACAGGACCTGTTCATCAGTTGAAGATGAACTCGACAAGTTGTTCATACAACTCGGCGAGTCGGATGAAGATTCAGTAGATGTTCAATTAGAAGGAAAACTCGTCGAGTCATCGCCTAACTCGACGAGTAGAGACGAGTATAAGGTCAAATAGAAGGATAGGGACTCGGCGAGTTAGCGAACCAACTCGGCGAGTCAGGTCAACTGGAAGTTGACTTTGACTTTGACTTTGACTTGGTCAGGGGTAAAATGGTCATTTTACCCTAAAAGCAGTTGGCAGTGTATGACTAAGTGTTTTGTGGGAATTATAGCTGGAGGATTTCCGGAGCAGCAGCAGTAGCAGTCAGAGGATTTTCCCGCACAGATCAGCAGCTACTACGAGGTGAGTTACCTTCCAGTAGCGGTGGGTCTACGGCCACAATGCCGGCCCACCAGTAGGAGTTGTATGTTAGGTGATTGTCTTTGTGATATCATCTAGTTTTGCTACTACCTGATATGTTATATGCTGGCATGATATGTTATAAGTGATAGTAGTAGAGTTCGGTTGTAAGGACCGAAGGGTAGGTCAGACACCCCAGATATGTCTGACAGCATGTGATGATATGTTTATATGCTGGCATGCTATATTATATGTGATAGTGGTAGTAGGAAGGGAATAGCCCTAAGTTCGGTTGTTAGGACCAACGGGTAGGTCAGCACCCCAGAATGGCTTGACATGGGTAGGTCGGCACCCCAGAATGGCTTGACACGGGTAGGTCGGCACCCCAGAATGGCCGTATCGGGTAGGTCGGGCACCCCAGAATTGCCCGACAGTATGTATGCTATGTGTTTGTATGGTATGTGGTACAATGGGGGAACTCACTAAGCTTCGTGCTTACAGTTACAGTTTTGTTTTCAGGTACCTCTTCATCGAAGGGGAAGGAGCTGGCACGGTAGTGGCACATCATACACGCACAATGTTTTCCGCACCATGAGTTATTCTGGGATTTTGTACTCTGACATTATGGTTGTTTTTAATGTTTTGGTTTTCAGACACGAAATATGTTTATGAAATGATATGATCAAACGATGTTTATTCACAAATGTTTTCCAAAGTATTTGATTTAAAAATGAAATTTTTGGACGTGAAATTTGGGATGTTACATGGGAATACGGTGTTGGAGATAGTGTCAAAGACCATTAAATATTGGTAATATTTATAAATAATAACATAGTCCTTTTATGTTGAACTCATGACACAATTAGCAATAAAGAAATTGAGAAAAATAAGTTCTTAATTTATTATGAATTAATAAGTTAATAAGAAATTATTTTGGTAATTAATTAAATAGTTTTTATTAGTTAAAAGACTTGAATATTAATTAAATCATTGAGATTAATTGAAATATTCTAGAAGCCTCTTGGAAGAGGAGGTGGACGATTTCCAGGAGCTTTATCTTAGAATAAGGCAGGTATTGATAAGGATAAGAATTATCCTTAAGAATCTGATCAGCTTAAGGATTCACCAACTGACTATAAATAGGGTGCTAGAGATCAAACACTAGACCAGTTTTTCCACTAAATCTCGTTCTACCGCTCTCTTATATCTCCAGTTCGAAAATTATAACCCCCTCTCTAGGGTTATGGAATTATCGACCTATCCCTTTTTTGCGTTTCCTTGTTTTGGCTATTGGAGTATTGGGTTTGACTATATGAGAGGGATTCTCCTTTGGGTCCTTCATCCATTGCAATAGTTGCATGTACATGATTGTTTTGATTATTCCGTTGTGTTAATCTTATGTGTATATATGTATTAAAAAACCAACAGTGGTATCAGAGCATTTAGGTTTTAGATTATATGCACTGCTGATAAAATCGGGAAAAACGAAAAACTAAAACATTGAAGAATACAAAACGTTCCCTTTGGACACGACGTGTTCCGGTTCTGATTTTTATTCTTTGTTATGTGGTAAAATTCAAAATTTGGATAATTCCTATCAAATTTAAAATATTATTTAAATAAGATTTAAACCCGAATATTTAAAT